GGTCAGGCTGGTCTAAAACTCCTGACCTCGTGATCCGCCCACCTCAACCTCCTAAAGTGCTGGGATTACAGGCGTGAGCTGCCATACCTGGCTGTGTGTGTATATTTCTAAACCACGTCATGAGGCTGCAGGTGTCCTGACCCTCACCCCAGTGGCTCAGGACACATCAGTGGGCACAGTGTCTCATGCCTGTAATCCCAGCACTTTGGGAGGCTGAGGCAGATGGATCACTTGAGGTCAGGAGTTTGAGACCAGCCTGGCCAACATGGTGAATCTCCATCTCTACCAAAACTACAGAAATTAGCCAAGTGTGGTAGCAGGTGCCTGTAATCCCAGCTATTCGGAAGGCTGAGGCAGGAGAATCACTTTAACCCAGAAGGCGGAGGTTGCAGTGAGTCAAGATCAGCCATTGCGCTCCAGCCTGCGCAACAGAGCAAGACTCCATCTCATAAAAAAAGAAAGAAATAAAGAAAGAAAAAGGGCATTAGCCTCAGTGCTGTTGCCAACTTACCTCATCCCTATGGCAGCCCCTCATTGCCAGTCCACGGTGTGGCTTCCCAGCTGGCCTAGTGACAGCCATGATAACTGTTTTTCCCTCCTGATCTGGACCTGATCCAGGCATCTGGAGTTACATTTGGTTTTCTTGTCTGTTTAGACTCTTTTCTGGAACAATCCTCTGACTTGCTTTGCCTTTCCTGGCCCCGACTTGAAGTGTCCTGGTCAGTTGTCTTGTAGAATGTCCTGCAGCCTGGGATTTGTCTGATTACGTCCTCGTGGTTAGACTCAGGTTAATTACTTTTGGCAGGAAACCTCCATGGGTAATGCATCCTTCCACTGTGTCAGTTAACGGATACATGATGTTGGCTTGTTTCATGGTTGAAGGCGGGGCAGGTTTGATTAAGGATGGTGGCTTTTTATTTTAATTAGTTATATATCTGTATCTATATCTACATATAGATATAGATATGTATATATATTGAGATGGAGTCTTGCTCTGTCGCCAGGCTGGGGTGCAGTGGTGTGACCTTAGTTCACTGCAACCCCCACCTCCTGGATTCAAGCGATTCTCCCACCTCAACCTCCTCAGTAGCTGGGACTATAGGCACTTGCCACCACACTCAGCTCATTTTTGTATTTTTAGTAGAGATGGGGTTTCACCGTGTTGGCCAGGCTGGTCTTGAACTCCTAACCTCATGATCCGCTTGCTTCGGCCTCCCAAAGAACTGGGATTACAGGTGTGCGCCACTGTGCCCAGCCTGTTTATTATATTTTTTAAATTGTGTATTAGAAAAGATACCACCAGCAAAGTCACTGGTAACTTACGGATATTTTTGCTTAGGCTGAAGCTTGATTAGGCAGGTAAGTAAAAGCAAATTGAGATGATTTCATGAAAAATCCTGAGTGAATCACTGGACAGCTGGACAGAGAAGGCTCTCGAAGGTGATCTAGGAAGAGTTGAGCTTCTGGAAGCCCAGATAGAGTGGTTGAGAACACAGGCCTTGGTGATGGGCAAACCCAGCTGAGGCCGAGACCGTGGCACGTTCCTTCAGTCACCTCCCCCCAGCTCAGCCTCCTCTCCAGGTTGGGGTGGTAGCTGCTCAGCAAGGGGCTGGAATTGGGAAGGATAGCCTGACCTATGCCAGAGCTCCCTGGCTGGCGGGAGGACTGGGGGCAGGTGGCCAGGACCCCAGAGATGTTCCTCTGCCTGTTGTCTTCAAGACCTTCCAAGGCTGGGCTTGCTGGCTCACGCCTGTAATCCCAGCACTGTGGGAGTCTGAGGCGGGTGGATCACTTGAGCTCAGAAGTTTGAGACCAGCTTGGCCAACATGTGAAACCCGGTCTCTACTAAAAATGCAACAATTAGCTGAGCGTCATGGTTCATGCCTGTAGTTCCAGTTGCTTGGGAGGCTGAGACATGAGGATCACTTGAACCTGGGAGGTGGAGGTTGCAGTGAGCCAAGATGGCACCATTGCACTCCGGCCTGGGCGACAGAGGTAGACTTTGTCTCCAGAAAAAAAAAAAAAAAAAAAGGACGCTCCAAGGTCCCAGGCAGTGAAGCAGTTAGGATTGCTGGCCCCTGACTGGGTGCAAGGGGATACCTGCCGGCATCGACTGCTTCCTAAAGGTCAATTCACTGCTTAAAGCATGGGCGGGGCTTATCTCCCCAAGCTAACTCCGGTTCCCTGGGGCTTGGTCCCCTGCTGATCGCCCTGGGCTCTGTGGGGGGCCTTTCTAATGGGGAGGACCCTAGTCATGGTGTCTCCTCCTGCCGCCCTGCTGCATCCTGGGGGTGTAGTGGGGGTGAGGAAGGACTCGCAGGCTGAGGCAGAGGCAGAGAGCCCTGGGGGAGGGCTGCTGGGAGACATGGAGCGGGGCGTCAAGGCAGAGTGGGCCTTCTGAGCTGGTGGTCCGGGGAAGCCTCGCTCTGGCACCGCGAGGCCTGCCTAAGGTCAGCAGTGGCCACGCCACCCAGCTCCTGCTGTTTATGTTGAATGCTGCAACCCCTTGCCAAGGTCATACAAGGTCATGCAGACTCAACGGGGTATGCCCGTCCTGATCTCCGGGGGCAAAGTCCTGGCTCTGCTGTTTCCTGGCAAAGGGACCTCAGGTGATCCCAAATAAGTGGACCCGTCGGAACCTCAATTCCTCAGTGGGAAAACGGGGTCACACCTCCCTGTGGGGTTTTTGTGAAGCTGAGGGGCGGCAAGCACTTCAATTTTCCCAGCAATCCCATTTCACAGATGAGAAAATTGAGGCTCAGACAGGGGAGGCAATTTGCCCAAGGATGCACAGCGCCCCGTGGGTCTGGATTTGAACCCAGGCAGTCTGGTCTGGCTTTGGCACCTGTGGGTCTGAACTCCTGCTGGTACCATGATGCGTCGCCTGTGTCTCCAGGTTTGGGCTTTCGGCATCCGCCCCATAGCCCCGGCTGCCATCATGGGGGCAGGCCCAGGCAGCCAGGCAGGATCAGACCAAGGATACCTTTCTTCTCCACCCCCGCGCCAAACCCTGAACCCCTTCCTGCCCCATACCCTTTGCCAAAACTTTATCTCAGAAAATTGCTTTCTTTGACTCCAGGCCTGGCGTTTCTGGGCAACCGGCGTCTCCCACTGTTGCCTCCTCCTCTCTCTCTCCCTTTTTTTTTTTTTTTTTTTTTTTTTTTTTGAGACGGAGTCTTGCTCCCAGGCTGGAGTGCAGTGGTGCAATCTTGGCTCACTGCAACTTTCACCTCTCAGGTTGAAGCCATTCTCCTGCCTCAGCCTCCTGAGTAGCTGGAACTATAGGTGCGTGCCACCATACCTGGCTAATTTTTTATATTTTTAGTAGAGACGGGGTTTCACCATGTTGACCAGAATGGTCTCAATCTCTTGACCTCATGATCCAACCGCCTCGGCCTCCCAAAGTGCTGGGATTACAGGCGTGAGCCACCGCGCCCGGCCTGTCTCCTCTCTTTTTATCCGAGGCCTGCTTGCAGACAGGTCCCTTGCTCCCATTTGGGCTTGTGGGAGGAGAGTGCTATCCAGCACCGGGGTGGAGACTTCTAGCTTGCCCAGGAATCCGGCCGCCGGATTCTGAGCCGCAGACCTGAGGTCAGACCCTTGCCTTGCCACTTCCTGATCTCTTCGTGCCTCAGTTTCCACATTTGGAGCCAGGGCAGAGTTGCGCCATCCTCCCTCCATGCTGTCCTGAGGGCAGCTGAGCCGAAGCACAGAGGCCGCCCGGGTGCAGATTCGGGCTTATGGTGGACTCTTGGTATTTGGCAGCCACTGTGAGCTTGCTTTGGTGGTTTTTGAAAAGTGGCTTCCTCAAGTCTGGTCAGGCACAAACAATTCACAGACACCTTTCTGGGCTTCCTTCCCACTTCCCTGGGAATAGATTCCAGTTCCTTTACTCATCTGACCTGTGCATGATACTCCTTTCCAGTCTGTTCATCTGTTCGTTCACTCCTTCCTTCCTTCCTTCCTTCATTCCACAAGGCAGTATTGAGCACATTTGAGGGCCCTACCCCACACCCTTTGCCAAAACTTTCTCTTGGAAAATTACATTCTTTGATGCCAGGCCTGGCCTTTCCAGGTATCTGGTACCCCCGGGGACCCAGTAGCTTCCATGCCTTTATGACTGCGTCCCCCCAATGGCTCTGTGTGGCCGCGGCTGGTGCTATGATGCCCACTTTTTGAATGAGGTGCCCGAGGCAGGGAGTGCAGAAGGAGCCGTCCTTCGCCCACACTGGCAGGGAGCAAAGGTGGCCTTGGTGGTGGCTTGATGTTCTTGTTCAGTGACCTTAGAGAGAACACTGATTTGGTTCCAACTTGAAACGATTCTGTACTTTTCAGAAAAGGCATTTTTGTTTGTTTCATGGCTCAGTAGAGTGAGTTTGTGGGCGTGGCTCGAGGCTCAGCTGCTTTCCTTGGCCTCTTCCAACCTTTGGTTCATGGCTCTGTTCATGTCTTGCCAGCGAAGGAGCCCGGACTGACCACGGAGAGGGGCTGCGGGGATGGGCCGATGGAGTGGAGGTGGTCCGCTCTTCTGCGGAGAGCTTCCCGTTTACAGCTCCCCCAACACACTCGGGCAGCTGAGTGCCTGGGGCAGCCGGGGCCTTCCCTGACATCTCGTCCCCAGGGATTGAGAGATGGGAAGGAGTATGTCTTGGACGTTGGTCTGGGAGCGACACCCTGTCTGCCCACTCCCAGGACTGTGGGGAGAAGCGAACCCTTGAGTGTCGGGGTATTGTTGGGCTTTTCCCAGCAGCAGCAGCAGTGGCGGGCAGCACGTGGGTGCCGGGAAGGGATGGAGCCAGTGTCCCCTGCCTGGGTGGTGGGTGCAGAGCCCCTGGCTGGGACTGCTTCAGGGAGCATTTTCTCATCCAGAGCAGGCCGATGCCCAGGGACATGGCACTTGTGGAGGGGAGGGCTGGAAGGGAGGCCCCCAGTGAATGTCTGCCCACCTCCCTGGACACTGTCCCTGAGCTAAAAGCCTGCTTTTCTGTTTTCTCTTGCAGTTACTGAGAAGGAGGTCCAGCAGTGGTGAGTAGCTGCTTTTTCTCACACCGTGTGGAGGGCTGGGGTGTCGGCTTTGTGCCGATGGGGACAGCAGTCCAGCTGCCCAGGACGGGGGCACGTGGAGGGGCCCCTGAGCATGGGGTCTGGGCAGGCTTTGTTCAGTTCCCTTGTCCCTGTGGGACTGACGGGGTTTCGGTGACACTGGGCTGGGGTGGCGTTGGGGTGTTTGCTGGTGGTCTTTGTTGCAGTGGCACTGGGCTGGGGGTGGCGTTGGGTGTTTGCTCGTGGTCTTTGCTTTCAGTAGCATCTTTAAGGACCAGCAGGCCCTGAAGGGTTGATTCCCAACCCTGCTCACCAAAGAGAAGGGTTTGGATAAGACAGTCCTTCTATGACCTTGAGAGGTCCTTTCTCCTCGCTGGGGCTCCAACGCGCCTTGTAGAAATCGATCGATTCGCTTGGAGCAGGGATGGCAAATGGGCTTGCTCTTGGATGCCAGCTCTAATTAATCTGTCGTAGCTGCCTGGAGGGCCGTGATAAGAAGGATTCTGAGGCCATACGTCATGGAGCAAATGGAAAAGCGGCAGTGAGGGATCGGTGGGGCCTGTAATGGATGAGCGGCACCTGGGCTGGGCCTGGGGGAGGAGGGCAGCTGCCCGTCACCGTGGAACGTGGAGCAGACGGGAGGCTCGCCCTGTAGGGTGACTGAGCTGCAGGGGTGGCGCGTAGGGACATGAGCTTGGAGACCTTCCAGGCGCCCCCAGGAGCCTCCAGGGCCACCTTCTACACCTACCTGCCTCAAGTCCAAGCTGCAGATGGGGCGGGGCTCTGCTGGCCTGGCTGGCTCTGCTGAGCCCTTGCTGAGCGGTGGGGCCCAGCTTCCACCCTCACTTTCCACTTTTGCACTTCCCCGCATGAGTGCCTCAGAAATGCTCTCCTTCTAGGTCTTCACCCCTGTGATTCTCCTTTCCTGGAATGCCCACCTTCCTTCCTGCACCATCTGAACTCTGCCCCTCCCAAGGCTCAGCTCTAGTCGCCTCCTCCATGAAGCCTCCCTCAATTCCCCATCCATACATGTTACACATACCAGCTTTGCACATGCCAGCCAGAGGGGTCTTTGTTGAACAAAACCCGACCATGCCAGACGTCTGCTAAAACCCTCTCTGGACCTCAGGGCAAAGTCCTCTACCTTGGCGTGGTTATGTGCTTATGAGGCCTGGTTCAGTCTGGCCCTGCTGACCCCTGCAGTCTGGCGTCCTCTGCCCTCTGAACTGCTGTTGGTTGCTTGAACTCACCTTTGTCTCGGGGGCTTCCTGATGTTTGCCCAGGCCGCTCTCCCTGCCTGCTGGGCTGTTACCTCCTTGTCCCTCCCCACCACTGAAACCCCTGAAGCCCCTGTCTGGCTTGGGGCCTCCTCAGACCTCCCTTGGCCCTGCACCTCCCTGGGACAGCCGATGACATGCCGGGAAGCAGATAGGTATTGCGTCCCTCTCTGCCTCTCGCGAGCGCTCTGAAGGCTGGCCAGCTTCGCCTTGTCCGTGGCTGTGTCTCCAGGGCCTGGCCACGGTGGGTGCGTGGCACCTAACGGGCATCACCCTTGGCGCTTCAAATTCATGCTGCCATTGACTTGTTTTTTTTTTCTTTCTTTCTTTCTTTTTTTTGAGAGAGTCTCGCTTTGTCTCCAGGTGCCAGGCTGGAGTACAGTGGTGCGATCTCGGCTCACTGCAACCTCCGCCTCCAGGGTTCAAGCAACTCTCCTGCCTCAGCCTCCCAAGTAGCTGAGACTACAGGCGCACACCACTACACCAGGCTAATTTTTGTATTTTAGTAGAGACGGGGTTTCACCATGTTGGCCAGGATGGTCTCAATCTCTTGACCTCGTGATCCGCTCACCTTGGCCCCCACAAAGTTCTGGGATTACAGGTGTAAGCCACCATGCCCGGTTTCCATTGTGAGTATTTGAATGAGGGATGAGTGAGTAGGCAGCAAGGAGTCTTCCTGAGACCGTGAGAAAGCTCAGTGTCTCCCAGGAAGGGCCAGGGCAGGGGAGGGCAGTGGTTAGAGTTCCTGGATGGCTGGTAAGGGACAGACGTGAGCAGTTGTCCCACTCTCCTATTGCCTTGGCCCTGATTGTGGCTGCTCATGACCAAGGCATCTCCCCTGGGGTCTCAGGGGACTGGGGGCTGAGGAGGGGACACTGGGACCTGTCTGCCTGGGCCTCATCCAGGGCAGGGAAGAGGACCAGGTGTATCTCTGAGAGATGTGGATACTTCCCAAGCACGGCTGTCAGCTGGGCAGGCTCCCAGACACAGCCTCGTTCATTTCATTCTTACAATGACCCAGAAGAGACAACCCCATCGTGGCATCTCGGCATATGGTAGATGGAGACCCTGAGGCCTGCCTGAGCGCCCCCTACTGGTATCCCCCCTCCTCACACCTGGGCCTTCTCCTGGAGCCACAGGTGACAGAGTGGTTGGGATCATGGGCTTCAGAACCGGGCAGGCTGAACTTGAATCCTTTAATTTTTTAATTAAAATTTAAAAAATTGTTTTTCGAGACAGAGTGTCACTCTGTCGCTCAGGCTGGAGTGTCATGGTGCAATCCCAGCTCACCGCAACCTCTGCCTCCCAGGTTCAAGCGAATCTCCTGCCTCAGCCTCCCAAGTTGCTGGGATTACAGGTGCCCGCCACCATGCCCAGCTAGTACTTTTGCGTTTTTTTAGTAGAGACGGGGTTTTACCATGTTGGCCAGGCTGGCCTCGAACTCCAAGTGATCTGCTCTGCTCAGCCTCCCAAAGTGCTGAGATGACATATAATTAAATTATTATTAATATGATTTTTTCAGAGACAGGGCGTTGCCTTGTCGCCCAGGCTGGAGTGTGCTGGTGCTGTCAAAGCTCACGCAGCCTCGACCTCCTGGGCTCCAGTGATCCTCCTGACTCAGCCTCCTGAAGAGCTGGGACTACAGGCATTTACCACCATGCCTGGCTAATTATTTAAAATTTTTTTTTTGTAGAGATGGGGCCTCACTATATTGCCCAAGCTGGTCTTGAGCGTCTGGCTTCAAGCGATCCTCCTGACTCAGCCTCCCGAGTAGCTGAGACCACAGGTGCGAGCCACAGAGCCCCGCTCTGGGCTTGAATCCTGAACTACCCGCTTCCTGGCTGAGTGACCTTACACAAATGACTAGACTTCTTAGGACCTCAGTTTCCCCCTCTGGAAAGGGAGGGTGATAATAGTGAAATGTTCTAGGAGTAGTGTGAAGAATAAATGTGCTAATTCACGTAAGACATTTGAAACAGAGCCTAGGAAACATTCTCTCTGCTGGCATCAATACCGTAGTAATCATGGTCCTGATGTCATCGTGCAAACCGCCAAGCAGCCCTGAGATTGAGGACTTCTCCACGGGTGAGGAAACTGAGGCCCGGGAGTGAGTGACTTTGGTTTGCTCATCAAGCATCAGTAGAGCGTGCTGTCTGTGCCAGGCACCGTCCCGCCCTGGGACACACTGTGAACTGGACAAAACCCCAGGCCCCGACATACAATATGAGAAATATGTCATGAGGAAACGCAGATTCGGACGTGAAGAGGGGGAGGGTGTCGTTAGGATGAAGAGGTCAGGTGTGGCTGACATTTGAGGTGACAATAAGGACTATAAGGACTAGACAATAAACCTAGACAATAAGGACTCCGGTGGAACCTGGGTCGTATCCACCCAGGCATAGAAAACAGTAAGTTCCAGGGCTGGGATTGGGGCCTGGCAAGTCTGAGGAGCGGCAGGGAACCAAGGAGGCTGGCCCAAGGGGGCGGTGTGGAGGCCCCCGAAGCCAAACAGGCACCCTTGATTGTGTGACACCCTGTCCTCATTCCTCACTGTGGGGGCACTTGCCCTAAAGAGCATATAAAGAAAAAATCAGCCTGCTTTGGGCATGCACCTATAGTCCCAGCTACTCAGGAGACCAAGGTGGGAGACCGGCTTGAGCCCAGGAGGTTGAGGCTGCTGTGAGCTATGATTGTTCCACCTCAGGCAATAGTGTGAGACCTTGCCTCTTAAAAAACAAACAAACAAAGGCCAGGCGAGGTTGCCCACACGTGTAATCCCAGCACTTTGGGAGGCCAAGGCAGGAAGCTCACTTGAGCCCAGGAGTTTGAAACCAGCTTGGGCACATAAGGTGACCTTGTCTCTACGAGAGAAGAAAAAAAATGCTGGGCATGCTGGCACATGCCTATGGTCCTAGCTACTTGGCTGAGGCGGGAAGATCTCTTGGGCCCCAGAGGTCAAGCCTGCAGTGAGCCATGATTGGGCCACTGTAGTCCAGCTTGAGTGACAGCGTGACACCCTGTCTCAAAAAAAAAAAAAAAAAAAAAAAAAAGAAAAGAAAAGAAAGGTGGCATTTTGAGAAAAGTTCTGTCTGTCTCAAGTAAATATCCTGTGGTCACTTTGGCAGTACCTTCAAGGCTAGGAGACAGCTGAACCAATCCTTTCTCTGGCTGTCCTGGGTCAGCCCTCCACTCACCTCACTGGCGTATTCTAGAATGGTCCCATCCCCTCCAGGCAACGCTAGACCAGGGATGGTTAGACAGTGACACTCTGCCCTCCTGTGCGCGAGACAGACATCAGTAACGGATCACAGAATGTGTTGCTCTGTGCTCTGGGAGCCAGCGGAACTGCTGTTACCACAGAAAAACCACTTTGCTATTCCTTGATTATCCTAAACCTCATTGGTTAACCCGGGACCGAAACAAACCCGCCTACTCACAGGCTAGGTCTGCCGGGCTCACCGTCCGCTCTGTCCTTTGCACGCACAGAAGGCAGATGAGATGAGCGCCTGTATCCCAAACACCCCAGCCCATTGTCAGAGGGCATTTTCTCACCATGGCCCCTGCTTGTTCTTTTTTTTTTCTTCTTTTTTGAGATAGGGTCTTGCTCTGTTGCTCAGGCCAGAGTGCAGTGGCACGATCTCGGCTCATTGCAATCTCTGCCTCCCGGATTCCAGTGATTCTCCTGCCTCAGCCTCCTGCGTAGTT